TTACTAACATAACAATAATATGCACTGACATATTCTTTAAACATTTTATTTCATCTACATATGCCACAGAGGAGCCCAGATGACGAGGAACTGTTGCATCTACACAAGACTGGATAATCATGTTCGTATAATCCTGTGGTAATGATGGTGGTAATGTACAACACAATCCCTCTTACGCTTTTTGTTCAGTCTCTGTCCCAGCCTGTGACTGCAGATCATCTGTAATGGTTAAAGATTAGTCACAAATTACTCAAGTCATCAACAAATATACATTCCAAGTACAGGGAAGGATCAATGACAGGATGCCAAATCACTATATATGTTGTTATTGTTTTATTGAATTCTTCAATACACACACACTCACACTGACCGCATGTGACTTGGTACTAAAGCAGACAAAAGACTATCATATCAATCGGCTTATGGAATGCAACTCAAACGCAGTATGAACTGAATACAAATGTTCTGCATTGCATATAACTGCCCTTTGATGCAATTAACATACCTTCATCCCTTCCTCTTGCATGGTCTGTAATGAAGCTAAGTGAGGTTAAAAAGAGGTGTAATCATTGTCAATGCAAAAAGCTAAAATGAAAAATATGAGAATGATGTTATGTTTGAAAAACGCCATCAACAACGTGACAAAGTCATCAATATCCCCCACCAGTGGCAACTGTGACATGACAACACAATATTTCTCCTCAACAAAAAAACATTCCCTGCTCCCTTTGTTAATACAAGATTCACACAAGTGTTACATAATGTACATACATCGCTGTCAATGTTGCAGTGGTGAGATACACAGACATGTGTTGATAAACGTGTTGTATCACATTGGGTAAAGTTGGCTTCACTCACCATATGCCTCTGTTCACACAGCAGTGAATGGGTACCCAAGAGGCAGAGGTGAAGCGATGTAATGATGATCATATTCATATAGAGCTATTTGTCACATCATTACGGGCATGCTCAAAAGTGCATTCCACAACCTCACTTCCCCAGTGACTTCAACTATTGGTATTACAAATATGATATGGTAGTAGTAGCTGTACTACTTGTATTCAAACTTTTTTAAAAATACTATACCCATTGCATAAAGGCTATTATTAGGCTAGGTAAAACCAAACCTTCAGCTGAAATGGTGGTCCCAGTACCGGAGGAGCTGAGGAGGCCCTTGCTGGTGGTGCAGAGGGAGGTGCTGGGTGCCGGAGGCGCCTGAGGAGGCCCCTGGGTGCTTCGGGTGTTGCAACATCTGGATGTCCCTCAGTTTTTGATGATTGGTAGCATCTCTGGTTCCCTGCGCTGGTGTGGACGCTCTTGATTCTGTCTCTACAAGGACATTGCAGTATTCACCGATGGAACCATTCAGAAATGATTTACGCTTCCGCTTGCCTTTCTCTCTATAACACTCCTAAGATCATTCATTAGTGTTACTTGAGTGGATATCGCAATACAACTAACTCACCCTTGGGAAGTGCAGCCACACCAATCTCCATGAATCTGGACTTTCTCCTGCGCGCGAGTGAGGTGATTTGGGCTTAACTGCACCCAGTGTACCGAACATCGCTTATCAACATCTCGGCTATAGGCAGCCTGAGACAGTTGATCAAAGGTGGCATGTTTGCCTAAGGCAACTCCACTGCCCTTGGCCATGGCTGACCATGTCTGTAGCAGCCCGAGGTTCGCTAAGACTTGCAGTGACTTCGCGCCAGTACTGCAATAAATACATATATATATATGTAAATCAATACTTTTTGAATTGTGGGACTGTAGCAACCTTGTATGCATTTCTGACAGTTGACATTATGTCAATAATAATCATCAATCACATTTCAATACGCACAGATGTCAAATCATTATTTACTCACACAATTTTTTGCATCCCGTCTCATCCACTGGATAGATTCTCTGAGGTAATTGTAGATGGCAGCTGAAGTGCCTGACGTGAGTGAAACCATACCAATGTCTTAGCAATTACCAATTATTGGACATTGTTATGGGCCACAGAATCTTCTGTAAATTCATTATTCACAATTTCACATCTTTTCATCACAGATACTGAAGAGAAGGGTTCCTTCACTTCCCCAACCCTACACCTGCCTCTCAACTTAACGCTTAAACCTAACCCTCAACTTCAACCTTACCCTAACTTCAATATTGACTTTTATTCATTTTGTGAGTTCTCTAGTCATTGTTGTGTTCAGTTTTGTTCATAATTTTAGTATATTTATGAATATTATTTGGGATGGGGGGAACGGGAAGGACTCTCACCAATGTGTACATTCATAATGTTTTCTTCATAGCCTGTACATATGACATGGACATTTTAAACCCTTAATGCACAATCATAAATTGTAGCTGTCAACGCAGATACAACATTAAACATTGCAGATGCTGTATTAATGCAGTGTCCTTCACTTGTGACAGTGGCAGGCAAATGACCACGCTGCGGTGAGGTGACGCCGCTTGCTCAGGATTCCATCATAGCACAGCTCATAACATCCACCGCGCGGACTGTTTCACGGTTGAACAGTTCACTTTACCAGTGCGTCGGCATAGATCCTCAGTGACGGGAACCAACAGAGTGTAACGCTTTTTGCCTGCGGGTTTTGCAGCACCACCTCTTCTACCGCCTCTCCGTGTTGGTCGCCATCTTGGTTCGCTTTGGCGAGGCAGCTGTGGGATGGTTTCGCGATGCTGGCGCCGCAGACGTCACAGGCGCTTCAGGATCGAAGGCCAAGGAATGATCGCTGGCGCCAAGGTTCTGAACACTTCAGGTAAGCACCTAGGCCCGTGATCATCATTCCTTCTGCTGTCACTCCTGTGAACGGATGTGCCGAAGTATTGCTGAACTCTTTCTGTAAACAGAAGTTAAAGAGAATAATGTCTGGGACACCACCACCTGTATGTATGGTCTTTATTTTGTCCTTGAACGGAACAGTAAAGCTTTTGCGGTCGGTTGTCCTATAATTGTGACTTTGTATTCTATATTTTACGCTAACTTTCCCGTGGGTTTACGACGTGTTGCTTTGCCATGGCGTGGGAAGTTTAGCGTACACGCCGGGTTGTCATATTAGCGCTTTTAACCAAGTATTTCTTCCCGTATCGAGATTCATTAATTTTCAATGTTTTGTACATGCATATTTATGCTGCTGGCTCCGCTTGTTAGCTACATGCTTGGCGTTTGCTTTCAGGCGTTTCCGGGTTGTAACTGTCTGCGACAAAGTAAACCCCGAAAGGACAGACATGGCAAGTGCGTCTCGCTTTGTCTAGAGAAAGTCGGACATAATCCCCGACGCATGTAGAAATATGTATGGGCTTTTCCCCGGTGCCCAGAAGAGACGGGCTGCAGATTTCCTCTTTATAGGGAAATGTGAGAGGCGGGAGAGGAACTGACCCAGGTCCCCCTTCTAAAGCCAAAACCCAAAACAAAAGGCAAAAGGCTAAGTCGCTGCAGTCAGGCGCCGCTCTACTGCTCCCAGCGGTTTTGACATGTCACTTATCACACATCTTTTTTCTAGCAGCACATGGACTCTGTAAAGTCCCTTGTTCACGAAGTGTCGGGGTTGGAGGTCTCGCCAGGGAGTCTCCGCCCCACCTCGAGCAGGGGACGGAGAGTCTGGGGTGGGGATCACCGAGCCTCGCTCGATCCCTTGGCCTGAGGCATGCCTGTAGATCCGCTCCTCTGGCTTCGGGTCCGGACGCCTCGGCTCTCCCCGGGTGGGGAGGGTTCGCTCCCAGTCCCTCTCGGGAGTTGGCGCAGGGTCCGCTTGAGGATTCCTGGGTTCCGGGTCCCTGGCGCTTGCCCCGCCCCCATAAGAGTGGGAGGAACCAGTTCTGCCTGGTATTCCTCCAGCGCCTCGACCGGGTTCGAGTGTGGTGTCTGGTGCTGAAGCGGGGTGCTCCTTCAGCTCTTCCCCTTCCCTCTGTGTCTCGTGTCGCGTCGCCCACCGGTCGGGTTCGGGTCCTCTTTGCGGCGAGACCCAGCCTCTGACTCGGGCTCGGGTGCCGAGTCCATGGACATTGGGGAGGTCGAGGGAGCAGGAGGGAGCCTTCCGCTGACACGGCTCTCTGCGGGAGGTACGGCAACGCATTGCTGAGTTTATCCCCGTCAGCGGTGCCTACTCAGCCGCCGGACTCAGCTGGAGTTCCCCTGCCAGGCGCAGACGCTTTGCCCCTAGGCAGCCACCAGACGCTTCCTCCGCGATCTTGCCCGCCCCTGGTGCAGGACGCGATGGATCCCTCCTGGTTGGGACACGCCTTTGACTTGCCTGAGCTTGTCAAGAGGTACCAACTGGGGAACGATTCCCGTTCTTCATGGCAGTGGTCGATGAGTGTGTTTTCACTTCGATGCGCCCTGGGGGGAGGCTCGGCTTCCTCGGGTGCAGCTCCGCTGCCAGGCAAGGGCGTTGGGTGCCACCTTTTGCTCGGCGCCCCCGCGGCAAGCTTACCAGACCTACGGGGAGGTTTACCAGTATGCTATGCAGCAGGTGCGGTGGTCATCCACGCAGGCCTACCTCTCTCTCTATTCAGAGGTCGGCCCTGGAGAGGCCGAGGGGCACGCTGGGACGCTTCGCCCGCGATGTCATTCTCTCCTCCACCAACTTTCCGGGTTCAGGCCCACCTAGCGCCGCTCCTGCTGCGTCAGCGGCGCTCTACGTGTGATGTGCGCGAAGTCATTGGGATGCTAAGCTGTGGCTGTCAACGCCTCGCCACTCGGCAGTTACACAGCAGACCTTGCTGGCCCTTCCCCTACCGCCTGGGAGAGCCACGCTGTTTCCTGGGCACAGCAGGTCATACCGGGAGGCTGCCGCTGCAGCTACCTCCTTCGGGCGATTCTAAGGCCTTGTTGAGCACCCGCTGGCTTCGCCATCACTGGGCCCTCCGTCGGGCTTCTCATCCGGGGTGCAGCCTACACCGGAGTCTGCCCAGCGCCGGTGGAGCAGTCCCGGCCAAGGGTAAGGGCAAGGAGCAGTCCTTCGCCTGGCTCCTCCCAGCTCATGTGGGCTCCTCGAGGTCTGCCCCACCTCCCGCTAACCCAACAGGCTGTCGCTATCGGGACCACTCTCACGCCTCTCTTACCACACGCCCCAGTGGGAGGCCGCCTCTCTCTCTCTATTCTTCTGCCGGAGTGGGAGAAGGCTAAGCAACACTTCTGGGTGCTGGGTCCACCGCCAGTGTAGGCAATCTACCACTGTGGAAGCTGGTGGTCCGCCAGAGTTCACCGG